CTCTCTCTCTCTCTCTCTCTCTCTCTCTCTCTCTCTCTCTCTCTCTCTCTCTCTCTCTCTCTCTCTCTCTCTCTCTCTCTCTCTCTCTCTCTCTCTCGTTTCGAAATTCCAGACGAGAGGAATTCCCTTTGACCGCAACACGGTTCCTGGCAACAACAGCTATCTCGCGATACAAATTACAAGCGGATGGTGCACTCGTACGTCGCTTCTTTTTTAACGTAGCTGCTCGCGAAAAACCTCCTTTCTCCTCCTCCTCGGCCGATGTATAGGTTTGCTTAACGGCCCGTATAAGGTTTACGAGCGTTCCACCGAGCCTCGGTGGAAAAATTTCTTTGAAGACGCCCCCCTTCCTTCTTCTTCGCCGTTCACCCCTTTCCTTCGCGCCGGCGAAGCGAGCGCGGTGCAAAAATCTGCCATCGTTTTCGCCTCGCCGTTAATTCATGACCGGCGTAAAGGGAATTACAGAGGGCGCGCAGGAGAAATAGAGCAGGAATTTCGCGTTCGAACGAGTCCCGGACGTGCGATTTATTCGGGGTGGGGGCGCAGTGCAAACTGGGAGAGAGAACACGTAAGGCAACCGCTGCGAGCGTGTGTTTGCGGTGTGTGCGCGCGCGCGCGCGCGCGTGTGTGTGTTTGTACGCATGGTGGCTGCTTTAGAAATACCTGGGTCAATTCTGGCAACGTGTCGCTATTATTTAATGAACGGTTACCCTTGCATTACCGGTTGCATGTGAATGTTCTCGCTCGTTCGTGGATATCGAACGGGGAATGCCGGGAAAAATTATATATTTCGTTCGTGGAAATATTTTTTATATAGACGCCGATACGGAGTACGATCGATACATTTAGCGCGATTATTATCACGAATTATTTTAACGGCAACGAAGCTTCGATATATTTCTTTTTAATAACGAAGAAATGAAAAATTCGATCTCGAGAAAGCGTTGATGATCCTCGTTGTATAGAACATTCAACACAGATAGATATTCTCGAAACTATCTATAATACACGCGCGCATACACACACACACACATATACAACACAAGGGAAGTTCGGTGTAGATAGATCGTAGGGTGATCCTGTCTGAAACAGACAGACTGGTAGTTTGCGAAGCCGCTTTAAAGTTCTCATTAAGCGATCGAGGTCTGTGGGACACTTCTGTGTCTCATTGTTTGCTTTGTTTGGTGTTTACGCCACTGCGCCGGGACTATACAGGGGCGGCGGCGCTCGACGAGACGAGCAGGGATAACAGAGACGGAGGGATAAAAGCGGGTGTGACGAAGAATGTGAGAATGGAGCCGGAAAGAGACGAAGAGAGAGAGAGAGGAGAGACGAAGGGACAGACGAGGCTTTCATTAAGCTTGCATTGTCTCAGCACCGCACTATTATAGCCGAGTGAATAACTTGGAGCCATCCGGTAGTCGAGGCGAGGGAAGGCCCCCTTTTTTTTCCTTCGCTTTTCCTTCCCTCTTTCGCGTGTTTGGAAACCTCTTCTCGCCCTCTTCCCTCCCCCCAATGCGATTCGTCTCCTCATTCCTCTCCTGCAACGCCTCTCCTTCGACCCTCAACACCCACCCACCACCACGCCTCCTTTTCCTCCTTCCGAACCACCAATTTATTTCGCGACCTCGACACCCTCTCTCAGCCTCGCGTCGCCGCCCCTCTGAAATATTAACGAACGAACGGGGCGATGTAACGCGCTCGGCCAAACGCTCTCGGACGGCGCCACGGAAGCTTTGATTTCACGCGAGAAGGCGCCAACCCCTCCTCCCCTACCAATCGAACCATCGTCATCCATCTGACCAAGCGTCGAGAGCATCGGAAAGGAGAACGAGGGTGAACGAGGATGAAACGAAGGACCGAGTGGATTTTAACGAGCGCGTAAAATCTTCGATCTGTCCTAACGCTGTTCGTTAATTACTCGCGGCCCCGAAACTCTCCCCTCCCCCGATTCCATCTCGCGTGTGTTAGGGTACGTAAACACGCGTAGAGAAGCGCGCGTCCCGATTCTGTCACCTAGATTCGAGGTCGGACGTTAATGACGCGGAAGGAACGCTAGTAGCGCGGCAGGAACGCGGCCCACAAAGAGGATGGCGTATAAGGGTGGCGTCGTTCGTCAGAGGCGCAGTTCCGTTTTGCCGATTAGTAGGCTTGATGTCCGTGGTGGGGCGGCGGCGGTGGCGGTGGCTCGTTTCGGCGGTTATTACGGGGCGGCGCGATTTTTCCTCTCGTTCCCCGCTCGATATTCCCATTTTTATCTCCCGAGCTTTTTGTCGTCCTTTGTCGTTCTTTGTCGCCACCCCCGATTTCAACCGTCGTATCAGGCAGGAGCCTCGGGTATTGTTTTCACAGGGGTAATTGAGAATTGAACGAAAGACTTTATTACGTGGTGTGTGTGAAAATTATTCGTATCGTAATTTTTCTTTTTCTTTTCTTTTCTTTTTCATATTCAATATTCAGTTTGTATCGTTCAGTATGGAATTTATAATTTTTCAAAAATTTACGAGCGAAAATACAAACGAATAGGATCGTTAATAGGATTCGAATAAAAGTTTCTTCCCTCGTGTCGCTGTATTAATAACAGGAACAACGAGTCTTTGTAACGTGGTCCCCGACTCCCTTAATCGACTTTTCTTCCCTATTCCTCGGTAAAAAGAGAATTTATTTCTATAGAGGACGCGCGAAATCAAATCTTGTTCCTTAAGCCTATGTCCCAAGCTACACCCGACGACACGAAATTTCGCGATACCTCATTATTATGCAATTTGCGTTAAGACGCTAAGCTCTGGTCTTATCGAGAGTTCTAACTTCATCGCGCCATTTAATAAACAATGATCCCTGTCCACTGCGTAAATCTTTTACACGGATATTTTGCGCGAATGGAGATTTTAAACTAAATTTTCTTTCTGTTTCGTTGATTTGGAACTTTGCCAATTTTTAACTTTACTAAAATTTCCCATTTGCGCAACTCTATCAAATCTCTTGCTCCTTTTAATTGGAAAATTTTTGTAATTTTTATTCAAAAATCGGTCGAGATATTATTAAGAATCGGAGAAAAGATTTGGAAAGATATTATCTTCTAATCACGGATACGCGATCGACACTCGACGATCGATACTGACAGTAATTGCTTAATACCTGTTTCAGATACTCCATCGTTCGCGATAACGCGTTTACCTGGTTTTGGAATCCCGATCGTCGAGGGGATGTCCGTCAGCTTGAAATGCGAGGTGGACAGCAACCCGGCCAGCACGCCCATTTGGCAGCGTGGTAAGTGACAATAGCGGGGACCAAGAATTCCGTCTATCTGAAAAAAAAAAAAAAAGAAGAATAAAATCGTGAGAAGAATTAAATTTTCAACGATATACCTCGCGCGAAAACTTGTTCCACGAAAGAAAAAAAGAAAAGACGTAGATCAAAATAAAAAGCGAATGAATTAATCGAGAAGAATGTTTAAATTATCGTTCCTCCCCGTCTGATGAAAATTTCATAATAGAGATATTTCTACTTCAAATATCACGCAGCGTGTGAACGCGTGAAAGAGATTTTCCTTCGAAAGCGTGCAATACAGGTTTCTTCTTTTTAATTTTAAAATTTCCATCGCTATCTCGGAACAAACAAAACCTCGAGAGCAGCGGAAAGCCGTCATATTTTCATCTTCTATATATTCCAAGGCAGGATTATCTCTCCTTCTACCCCTATCTTCCTCCCCCTCTACCCGGGACCATTTCCATTTGCTATTAACATCCAGGCTATTAGTCTCTTCGCAGTCATCAGCAAACAAAACGATAAATCGTATAATCACATTAGTCTATACCACGGCGACCAGAGGAGGACTATCGCGTTGGTTGGGGTCGAGACTCGGGACGATAAATAATCCCACCCCTATTCCACGCGAGCGAATCCCCTCATCGCGGATAAGTATGCAAGGCAGATATTATCTTTCGTGGAGCGCGAACGCAACACGTTTTCCTCCTTCTTTATCTCTCTCTCTCTCTCTCTCGTCTCTAATCTCCCGCGCGTTGCGAATGTTTCGTCAAAATGAAAAATTCTACGCTGCTTCTTCGAGTCGGTTTCCGTTTCTTTCTTTCTTTCTTTCTCTTCAGCTGTTGCTTCTCTTCCCCCTCCTTTCATCTCTCTCTCTATCTCTCTCTCTCTTTCTTCCTTCGTAGAAATCAATGGGACTCCCATTGAGATTTCGCTTTCCAAGCGTTCCACCGACTTATTCCCGATAATTGGAAATCTCCTTGTACGGACGTCGAACGTCGTTCGAATTCGTTCGTCCCGGTTTTTTCTTTTTTTTTTTTCCGACGTAATCGATAGCTCGAATGGGTGAAGTGGTCGGCTCCCTTCCGCGGGAAACGAAGCTTCGAAAAAAAGAAAAAAATAAGGGAAAAGGGAAAAGCTTTTTTCCCAATGGGGCGATACCTTTGCTCTATTTGTTATTTTTGCTTCGAGCGAGCATAGAATTATGAGCGTGGAATAATTCGCGTGGATAAAGGGGGGATCGGGATCGGGGTTTTCGAAGAAGATCGAGAAGGGGATTGGGAAATGGAAAAGTTCGTCTCTTCCCTTAAATTCCGATTTATCTCGTGAAAGAGGAAAAAAAAAAAAAAGAAAAAAAAAGAAGGGACGGGAAGGAACAAGGAATTACTGCCGGCCGACTGGATTCATTAGCAACCTCTTGTTCTTTGTCAAAGCCCGCCGACGGTGGGCTGGCCCACGACTCGATAAATATTTAAAGCATCCAATAATTCCCCCTTTAGTCTACTCTCTCCTCCGTCACGCTCCGTCTCCCTTTTAGCACCGTGGTCGCTCTTTGAGTGTCTTCGCCGATCCTTCGATTTCGATACCTGCACCCCCTCCACCGATGTAACAACATTTTAAGCTTGACCCGGGGAGGTAAAAGTAAAGCTTCTTGAACGATTTCAAATAAAACGGGGGGATGAAACGGGGTCGGATCGAAGATGAGGTAGTAGTTACTTTGTATGGAAGTATAGATTGGCCTTGTATCGAGTTTTCCGAGCCGGATCTCGCGATTCTCCATGAAAATACATGTATTGTAATCTTAAAAGACTTTGTAATGGTAATACATATATTCATATGTAAGATGGTTGTAAATTATAATACAAAGAACGGGTGGAAAATATATCTACAAGGTATAAATATATATAAGATATTTACTCGCATTTAAATGTAATAAAAAAAAAAAAACTTGGTGGAACAACATACATTTACAAGGCTAAATCTTTACTTAAACTCCATTTCTTTACTCGTAAACGCTCCGCAATTTTTCTATTTCATTTACAAAAATTCCTAAATACTTTTTTTTAAAAAGTAAATAGCTAATACGATCGGACAAATGAAAATATTATTTATTCGAACGTTCGAAAAAAACTTCTCCTCTCAAACTTTGGCCAGAGTGATTCAAAATTAACAAGGTAACCATCAACCGGAGTATTCCCATGTTCCGTATACAAAGCATGGTCCAAGAGTTAACCCAAATTCGGCGTTATGTATCCTCATGACGGTACGCCTGTTCCAGTCGAGTACGAAACGTATGTAGGTGCATGCAGGCCAGTAGGTACTACTACGCGCAGCTTTACGTAACGGCCACGCTGCGAGTCGTTCCACCATGGGAATTAACGTTTGTTTTAATGGACGTACTTTTCGTCCCAACGTTGTTGCACACCAACCCCTGACGGATTCGTTCCCTGCCCGGTGTGACGCACGAGCTTAAGTCTCCACCTCCCGGCTCGTGATAACGATTCGTATTTTCGACTGCATGATTTGCAAGTTGATTGCTCACGATCCTGTGGCCGGGATATAGGTGATAGGGGGTTTCCGTGGAACGATATTCATTCGATTTTTCTTCCTCCTTTTTTTTTGCCATTTATTCGATAACGAAAAGAAGAAAAAAGAAAGAATAAGAAGGAAAAGGTGAACAGAGAGGTTGAAGGATTTAATGGATGAAGATGATTCCAAGTTGCAGGATTTTCGCGGGGAGATGGTACTTTGGTGAATTTTAAAGATGGATTTGATCATAAAATATCAACTTGAACCTTCTTTGCCGCAGTTTCTTTCCATCCTCGTAACGTTACATTCGGCAGGAGCGTGCATTCGTTCTCGTTAAATTGATCCTTTAACGTAATTAGAATCCCTGTTAACAACCGACGGTTAAATTAAATACGCTTCTTTGAAACTATTCGAAGAAAGAAGAAACTTTTCCATCGCGTGAATAATACGAAATCTCGGTAAATTCAAAATTTTATCGCCCCGAGCTTCTTTCGATGCGTCATCTTTTATTCTTTTCTTTTTTTTTTTTTCCTAGATAAAAAGATAAAAGTTTCGACAACGATGCCATTGATAATTCCGAAAAACCGATCGATATTTCGTTTCTACGTATATTCGACGTATAGTCGAATCTGTTACGAAGTGGAAAAATACCTCGATTTCGCTATTTCAGCCTTCATAGACTTTCGTTTGCGTGTGACTGCCAGCAGGACTTTTTCCTCTGGTCCAGCCTCAGCCTTTATCCCATTGGAAATCACGAAAAGGATTTACAGAGCAAGTTGGAGAATCGGTAACGACTGTTGCTTTTTACCACGGGATCGGTAGGGCAAATAAAAGTTCGCCGTGGTATAATTTCCTTTATTCGTCGTCAATCAGAGAGAAACTTTGATCACGAACGAGGAGAAGGAAGAAGAGAAAGAAGAAGAAAGCCGAAGCGGGATTTTCGTGGCGAGTTTCATCGTGGGAGGGACCACTTTCTTGATTAGAGTGGCCGTGGTTTAAGCCTGGTTACATTCGGTTTAAACCAAGTTTTTTCACAGGGCCACTCTTTTTTATAGAATTCGCAGTTCTTCTAAAGTATCTATCCTCCCAGAGTTACGATCAAACGGATGTTTAATCTCGTTGCGATCCATTTTGAATCGTGGAAATAATACACGCGTAGAGAACGTTCAAACATTTTTTTCGTGATTGTTGAAAACGGTATACACGACGAGATAGCGTTTCGAGAGTTAGATCGTTCCGTTTTGTTCGTTTCCATCCATGGTTTTTCTATTATATGTCTCGATATTTTGGAATTAAATTTCGTCGTTGAAATTTTGTGTGAGTGTGACGAACGCGTGTTGGAGTTTGCCAATCTCTTATGATTGTATTCGTTAAATCAATTCTGATACATAATAATGTATATGATTTTGAATCGTTAATGTAGATATAATCTCGTCCGATTCATAAATTTCGTGAAAATGTCGCGATAAATGGAACACTGAATTATGGGTTATGGAAGACACGTAAAATGAAGAGGAAACGTATTCAGAAACGTAAATCGGATTTTTAAAATGCTAAAAACAGAATGGGGGAGAGTGCGAAATGACTTTATCAAAAAATTATATATCGACCGTATTCCTTTGAAAGAAGAACGATCGTATAAAATTCTTTCAATGTACACAAATAGACGTTAAACTTTTGAGGGTGATTTATTTGATTTGAATCGTTGCTTAATTAAAATTCGAGAAAATATATGATGAAAAAAAGTTTGTTTTACGTTTCAAAACATTTCTTTTTTCTAGAAATAAATTGGGAAATAATTACGTTTTCGAACAAATTTAAACATTGTGATTCTCGAACAAAACGGACAAAAAGATCTTCGAAATTCGTCAAATTTAAATCTACTCTCTTTCAAGCGAAAGAGCACAATTTAAAACGATTATCTCTCGAAAAAATAATCGTAATAAAAATGAAAAATATAAACCATTAGAATTCAGGTTAGAATCGCGTGAGAAAGCGAGAATGACGTTTCACTTTAATCGGAAGAATTCCGTTTTCCGTTTCGCGGAAGGGCGATGAAATTTATCAGGGGGTCTACTAGTTAATCGTACAAGCCTCGTTAGTTCCGTTATTGAGTTACACAAAATGCTGAGAGCAGCTGCACCCGTCACTTTCTGCCGTGATCAGCCAGCGGTGAGAGTGATAAGAAACATGATGAACGACCCGTAACTGGCGAACGGTTGACGCGAACACGATTATTGTACACCGGTAGTATCCGAAACGGAAGAATTCGTGAAACCGTAATAAATTGCGCGCGAAAAGTATCTCTTGTTCTTCTCGTTTTCGTCGATGAGCAGATTCTTCCTGTTTATAATCCGAATTATCGCTCGAATTATACTCGATCGATATAACAGATAACGGATTCCGATCCTTTATTATCGTTTTTAAAATGAAACTCGCGAGAATAATAACGTTGATATCGAGAATAATTAATTGGCATTCCCAATGACGAGGAAAGGAATAGCGAGAATTGTCTACAAGTAGATGGAAGATAACGATAATACGGCTTTGAATTTCGACAAAGCTGCAGCGAGGCTATGTAACGTCAGTTATATATCCCATTAAATGTTCAATTATTCTGCCATTCGTTTCTAACGTCCCGGAATTCCGGCCTGCTGTGTACATCATCCGCGAGGGAAGGACGAGGGGGTGAAGGAAGAGGGTGGCGTAGAAGCAAAAGCTTAATCCCTATTCATAGACTCGATCGAGTGATTTCGAATAAATCCTTCCATCGTTCCCGCGAAATCCGCTGCAATTAAAATACTTTAATATCCTTTGGAGCACGTACCCGCTCCGGGCGATGCCTCCTTCCAAACCACCACCACATCATCCTTTTCCTTCACCCTCACCCTTCGGCTCATCTTGCTTTTAGCCTCTCGTTTCGACTCATCCTAAATCCCCCTCTCCCCCTCGTCGATCCCAATTTCTTTTTGGCGCTCTCTTATTAAACGAGTCCCGATCCAGATGCCCCGAGGTATCGAGAAAGCACGTTCGCTTTCCTTCAAACACCTCTTTATCACCGTTCAAACTCCGCCAAGATATTTTGTCCATTCGTCTTCGTGCGATATATATCATAGCGGTAACTGCACTTTTTCCTCCCTGCAGACCGTGTAATATTACAGCCATCGGTTCGACTACCTCTTTGATAGTAGTTCTTCTCGAGAATGGGCTTTCGTGTTTTTCTCCTTTTTTTCTTTCTTTTTTAATCCCTTGTTTCTTTCGAAGGTTATAAATCTAACGTGGTGCTCGAGTGCAGCGATAAGTTGGAAATAAGGTCGCGGTATAAAATAAAGTAGCAAAACGCAATTTTAACATCACATCTATCAACACCGTGTGCAATTTCTTTTTTTTTTTTTTTTCGTAATGTCGTTATTAAAATCGACCCGTCCAATTTTCTTAAACGATTCGTCTAATCTGCACGCAACTCCACCCCTTTCGCGAGCTAAGGCCAATTTTCCGACCGCTCTATTATCCACTCCAACTTCTACGTATCCCCATCTTGAATTCAATTTATCGATAAATATCTATAATCCGCATTATCCTGCCGCACAACTCGAGCCGTTCACGAAATTTCAGCGGGACGATAGAATCGCCGACCCTGTTCGTGCTTGGAATAATCAGAGAATCGTGCTGACACCACTGTCGATGTTAAAAACTTATCGATCGATCGATAAGAGGAAAAGGAAAAGGGAGAACGAAGGCTGTTCCTTTTTTAGGTTTTTATAGGATCGACGATACGATCGGTATGTAATGATCGGTGGTAAAGTAGGGCAGTTAAGGGTGAGGATATTTTAAATGAAAAGGAGGATAAATTTATCACAGCCCCGTCGAACGATTTATCACGACGATACATTCTACAGCTACGGACGTTCCGGAAAACGTACGAGGGCGTCAGCTGCGGGAAACCGCTTCGGGGGAAGTAGATCCCCATCCGATCATTGTTCATACGAAGCTAGAATATAATGCGATGCCAACCAAAGTCAAATATATATATATTGTACCTAACCTCGTTTCGGTTTTTCCTTTCGACTCCATTGCGAACGATTCTTTTTTTGAACGGAGAAAGTGACGTTTGTGATACGAAAGAAAAATGTTAGAAACGACATTGTAAATATTCGATCATTTAATGAATATTAAATGAAATGTGTTTGGTCAAGGAATGTGATAATATTTCGTTCGTGATTATGCAGCATGAAATTTTGCAAGTATTTAACATCTACATACGATTAACAGATTTTCTAAAAATTTGCATTTTGCGATTGAATTGAAACAAACGATAAGTCGTTTATTCTTTTTCTTTTTTTTTTTAACAAAGTAGTTAGCTTTTAGCAGGGTATTTACGTTCTCCAAGTTTTTCGGCCGGCTAACTAACTGTGCTCGAAACAGTAAAGCCGAGTAACGCTTTTTTTTTTTTTTTTTTAGGAATAATTGCGCCCGGGCAAAGGAACGAGTAAACCTCGCGTAAACTCGTCTCCGCAGCAACGTTTCCTTCTCGCGATTGCTCTTTTACTTTTTACGTTTCAGAGAGACCGAGGGAAAAAATGCAATCTGCGTTTTGCTTCCTCTCCCAACTAATAGCCAGCTGTTCGTTCGAGCTTAGAGGAATATCTCCTCCGTTCCATGAAACGTGCCAAGTAGAATTATTCACAGGTGTTCGCGAAAAATCTTATTCTCCTCCTTTATTTCACTCAACCCCATTCCGTTCTTATTTCGCGCTTCGCTTTATTCGAGCAAACCTTACGATCTACTATTTTTCCCCCTCCTCCTCCCATCACAAAAGATCTCCAAGAATCCTTAATCGTTCTCGGAATGCAAATCGAATAAACGAACCTCAACCTTGGTTCCACTCCTCGCTGAGAGGATGCTTCGATGGGTTTACATCATCGATAACCCGCATAAAACTACTACTTCCAAGTAACTAATTCCCAATAACCCGGCAGACGTATAGCCTCCGAAATTAGCAACTAACGCGCACCGATCGCTTTCCACGCGATGTTGCGCTAAATGCTGCTCTCCAACCCCTCGACACACCCCACATCCTGACCCTTCTCCACGGCTCAGTTTCAAGCACGGTCCGTTTGTTTCCGGGCCAAATAGCCGGAATCCCGCATAACCGTGGCTAGATATGTCGTGGTGCTCGGGCCAAGTCACGGGCCGCTCTTATTTCATACAGAATACCGCATCTTGCCATCCTTTCTCTCTCTTTCTATATATATATATAGATATATACCATCCCGTTAACACAATCGAATATATTTTGGCAGCGGCACGAGTTCGCTGTGTTCAGCAAAGAGACGACAGTCGGTGGACGATCCTATACACCGTCACAAATCGCAGTTTCAACCTTCTCCCTCCTCCTCCTCCCCCCACTCCTTCAAAGACCGTAATACCGGGACGTATAAAAGTTTTCGGGACAAAACTTCATCGCGAAAGTAGCATACACGCGGCAATGTTTTTTTCCTTGTCCTCCAACTTCTCTCGCCTCCCTTCGATTCCCTTTCTTTCTTTCTCCAGTCAACTATCTCCCCCCTTCCCTCTCATGCCTCCTGTTGGTTGCGCATTGTTATACATTCAGAGCCGTATTCAGAGCCCAGTGAATCCGACAGCTGCCGTCGAATCCTGCCTCTCGTCAAATCGGGTTAAAAAAAAGAAAAAAAAAAAAACAAGGAGAAACCTTGCCTATGGCAGGATCAAAGTTTTCGCCCACGACTTCGCGGCGAAATGGATACCGAATGGATCCGCCGCTTCTTCCCCCATCTTTTTTCTTCTTTCACGGTTTCAAACTCGGCTCGGGTTGGGTAAACCGAAAGGTTTGGATAGCTTCGACTTTTCTTCCTTTCTATTGTTCTTGGTCGGATAGCGGTGCGGCGTGTCTGCGAGGGATCAAGGGATGGGGGAGATGGGGAGGTGGAGATCGCGTGTGCTAATTTGATTAACGAAAATACGATCGATAAGGGTTTTAAGTTCCGGCCGCACGAAAGGCTGGCGCAACGTCGAAAAGATTTATCACTGGTTTTAATTGGGATTATCGATGGGCGAGATTATTGGGCCCGTTTAATTTATCGAAGCTTCGATGAATTTTCTCGTCCTCGACCATTTGTATTTTCTAATTTATGTTAAATTCAACGTTTACACACGAAGGAATGGTAGGAAAGGTATATAGTAAGTTATAATTAAAAATTCGTGTAATCGCCTTTAATCCTGACCTAATTCAAGAGTAAATAAAGCAGGATGTTATTAACTGAATAAAGATTTATAACACCCTCCCCCCATTTATTGTACATCTTACTTTGAATTATTTATCTTTTACAACGTACCGTAAAAATTAGTCTCTAGAGTTATGTTATAAAAAATTTTATCAAAATAAAATCGTAATATTTGAATTAAAAAAAAGATAAGAAAATTTGTTATTAAAATATTTTTTCGAACGGTATTTCGTTCATTTACGATACGTAGGATTTACTAATTTTCAACAATACTACCAATTCTCTATTTATCACGACTTGTACATCAACTACCAAACATTTAAACAAATGTTATCTTTTCACCCCAATTTAATTCTCGAAAAATTTATCCTATATCCGCATACCCTACATCCCAAATAAAAAAAGAAATTGCCCAAAATTACGGAATATATTCCACGATAGCTAAACAACAAGGTTTATCTGCCTCACCACGACTCGTGTGCAAAATTTCACAAAAATTCTCCACCACGATCTTTGAACCAAGCGGCACCAAAATTACGCACGGTCATCTTTTCATCCCCCAACTTAACCCTCGAAAAATTTTCCCACGAACAAAACTTTTTCGCCCGAAATTAAATCGTGAAAAAAAGTTCGCCTCGCGTTCCAAATGGAAAGAAAAAAAAAAAAAAAAGAAAATTACACAAGATTACCGAATATATTCCGACGCGAAAAGAACGTTTCTCGCTCGCCATTTTTCGCATCCAACGCAACGAAATTTCACCAAGTTCCCCATATACCCCACGATCCGTGTACCAAGTACACCAAAATTACGCGAGCTTACCTACGACTTAACCCTCCAACAACACACCTCCCCCCCTCTTTCGAAACGTTGGCGCGTAATCCCCCGCGTACAGAGATTTTTTCGAACAACAATAACGAGGCCAGCGTTGGCATCGCGCCAACCCTCGACCGCGTAATTCCAACGACGCCGGTTAATCGGTAACCGGCGCGATTCTGCGCGAGGGATGCGCGCGTAGACACGCTATTTTCCTACCGAGTTAATCCGTGTACAGCAACCTCTTCGTTTGCGTTTCAGACAATGGACCGCCCGTCGAGCAGAGCGACGACGGATGGCTGAACTTCACAAAAATCAGCCGCGCCGAGAGCGGTTGGTACAAATGTTATACCAGGCACATGCTCGGCATATTCACCAGCATCGGTTATTTTCTTCAACGTGCGCTGTGAGTATATATATATATATATTTTTTTTTTTACACGATCGATTATCGATCGGTTATTTATATCGGAAGTGATTTGGAGAACGAAGAATTGAAACGAGGATTTGGAGAGGTTTCGGGGGAGATTTAAGCTTCCGTTGAATCGATTCGAATTTGATTCCGTTGATATTCCGTTAAAAAATTGGAGATTCTACTAAAGATTTTGATCTTTCAGTCGAACGAAACTGGGAAATGAAGAATGAGAGAGTTTTAACTTTCTCTCCTCGTTTGCCGGAATGATAGAGAATGAATTAATGTAGCGAATATGTGAAAAAGGGAGTTTTAACGTGATATTGAATGTTTAGAAATTGGTATCGGGATAAGGATTATTTTAGAAAATTCAGATTTTATTTACGTTTAAAAATTTAATTTATCGATATTTCGATCTATTAAAATTTGAAATTAGAGAGAAAGGAAAAGAAAAAAGAGAATCGAAAAAAAAGTATTGAACTTTTGAAAAGTCTATCCTTTTTCTCGCTTATCAAAATAAATCTTTATTAAAAAATTTTATGTATATATATATACTAAATATATATATATATATATACTAAAAATTAACAAAATAAAAAATATTGGCAAAAATATTCAATTTTCGTTACGAATCAAAAAATAAAAAAATCTCTTGATGAATGTTTTTTTTTTTTAACTCGCAACGTATTCCTGTAAATTAGATTACAAAAAACACAAGCTTTTGGATTACCCATTCAATCTAACAATATCGAATAAAATCGCTAAAAGTCGTGCTAAATATACGCTAAAATCTATCGATGTTCATGAACTGATGGACCGAACAAATGGATTTATTGAGCGGGTATGAAACGACTATCCCCGTTTCATGTATAACAATGAAAATATTGAAAATAGAATAAGTAGAGCAGCTGTACGGGCCGATAAGGGATACAGTAATATTAGAAATTAATGGAAATCGTGGGCCACGTTGCACGGCTGTTCGAGTTACGAGATCGATTCAACCGGGAATTTCGTTTCACCGAAACCTCGAAATGCGATATATTTGCGTCACGATCCAAGATTTATATTATTAAACACCTATGGTAAAGACGATCCGAAATTGCTTCAAAATTTCAAAGGATTTCGTTTCTACTTCGCGCGTTTCGTTTAATTCTGGCGAGATAATTTATCACTTCAACATATAATCTTGTTTCGAAATGAAATCGAGAGAATTCATCGGCTTGTTGGTCTAGATCCGTACGACGGGAAACGAATGTTTGAACGAAGTTAATAGAATTTGGAAAATGGGGATATTTAGTTCAAAGGGAATATTTTTTTTTTTTTTGAGAAAAAGTTTTTTTGAAAATCGATAGACGTTTTATAAAGGTAATCACTGTCTTCTGAAATACGATATAGATCAACAGAAGTTCAATAATATCCAGTAATAAATAGGAAACGAATGTTCGAAATAGAAACACAGATATTTAGATTGTCAAAGGGAATATTTTTTCTAGAAAAAGTGCGCTGAAATTTGACGGATGTTCAAATTTTCATCAATACAAAACTGTCTTTTAAAATATGATATAGAACAACGAAAGTGCAGTATTTTCAACATGGTGGGCATCCATGTATCTACATTCTTTTTTTTTTTCTTTTAGATATTTCAATATACTCGAACATATTGAATATATTTATTTTGAATATTTCGCATATTAAAATTCATTTCTGCGTATTCAAAAAAATCGACGAATAACACGAAAGATACGAAAAAAAAAAAATTTCAATCTTTCCTTTCAAGATATAAAAAACACGCTCGCGAAAAAAGTATCTAGAATAGATATTTAAAAACATTACAAACAGACTCTCCACTTTGCCACATCGTATCCATAAAACAACATCTCCGCATAAACGATACTTCATCCCCATCTAATTGTAAATCGCGAAACATTCTCGAGAATCAACAACCATCTCGTTCTCGTGGACCGAAAAGAATATTGTCTCTGTCTTAGAGGGGGAGGGGGAGGGAGAGACATCAGACATCCCCGCTAATTCGGAATGCAAGAGGGGTTGGTGTTCCTCGCAGCCGATAACCGGAACCACAGTCATTTGTCAAGTACGGAAACCGCCGAGCCAACCGGAAATTATCCATGCCCTGTCGTGAAAATTTGCAAATTTCCTACCCCAACCCACGAGTCCTTCCATCTTGCCATTATAACCGGTGGAACAGAGGAGTGGAGGGGAATGGAAAGGTGGCAGTTCCTCCCCTTCGAGAGTTCCCTCCTCCTTTTCCACCTCCTCTTCAACGCCGGCTTCCGTTCGCACCGGCAAACCGGCGGGATCCTGGATACGGGTTTCCGAGCACCTAATCTCTACGCAGTTTAGATGGCTCGAGAGCACCTATAAACCAACCAACCTTCCCCCCCTCCCCCCGTAAGGAATTATCGATTACAGAGGCACCGCGTCCTATTCGAATCTCCTGCCCGGATTACTTATCCACGGATAACGTCTACGAGGGTTTTAAACGGGCGCGCCAACCAATTTCGTGCAATCGTAGATAACGCGCGTTTCAAAGGAAAAGGAAAAGGGAAATGAATTTTTGAAATTGGTTCCCCAAAAAAAAAGGAAAAAAGAAAGAAGCGCAGTGTGGATGGTTCTTGGAGATGAAAGTTTGTCGCTTCTTTGGGAACATTGGTAAGCAACGATAAAAGTGATCGATCTCTATCGATGATTGTGCGTAGTACGATATTTAGAAAAATTCTTTTCTATATAATTCTCGAGGGAAAAATTACGAAGAAGAGCGCAACGTTTCATTTTAATTTCGAACTGTAATTTTCAAAAAAGTGTAACTCGTCGCTTTTCGGGGCAACAAGGTTCGATTCTAGATCCGTGGGGAAGTTCGTATCATTGTGAAAGTTCTGGCGGAAACGTTGTACCGAAAAAGAGGAGGTCAATAGAAGGGAGGACGAAATATCTGGTAAAGTTGGTGGTTAGTTAGTAGTTTGGTTGACCGATCGGTTAACAATCAATCGTCAAACGATATTACGCCAAGTCAAATGCAATCGGATTTCGAACAATCAACATCCAAAGTACTTAAGAGCTGGTCAGATTAATGATCAATTAAGTTGAACTTTCGTTGAACTGGCCGATCGTTAAACGAAGACATTAAAGGATAGTTTAATTTCGGGAACTCGTTACAATCCTTTGATTCCTAGATTCCAATTCGAATCTCTTACGATATATATATATAAAAATATATATAAAAAATGGAACAAACATCGATCAACGTGATATTTTTTTCAACGGAATGAACGACGAATTGGTTGAGAATTGGTCGAGATCGCATGGATCCTATCGATGTGGTGAAACGCGACGGAATTGCCCGTATCAAGGATCAAAAGATCACGCATCACTCGAAATTTCCGGTGATAGATCAAATTCATAGGTAACGAGAATCGCCATTAAAAAAGAGAAGCTGGGATGCGCGTGCATTCACAGAACTAACGAAGAAAAAGTGAAAACTTTCTCCCCCCTCTTTTTTTTATCTCTTTATCCCTCTTCTCTTTCTCTCCCTCCCCTCTATTCCTGTCGTTCCTTGTACCCGTTGTTTGTCATAGCGTCACGATTGTGTTTGCTGTAAAATTCCGAACAAACTACAAGACAAACGAGGTATAGCCAGCGCGGCGACCAGGGCTTGAGGGGAGGGTGTAAAAGCCTCCTATCGTCGCATCCACCACTTTGATCCCTTTGTTTTGTTATAGGATGAGCCGGAGGATCAGCTTGCTAACTCAAAGGACTGCTCTCTTTCTCCATCCCCTTCTCCACCCCCCATTCCTTCTTTCCTCTCTCCTATATATATACCTTTTCTATGCCTCTCCTCACCTTCTCTGTCTCTCTTTCTCCACTTCTACCGACATTCCAATTCTCCCCTCTCCTCCGTGAACAGATATCTCGGCCACGACGTCACCAATCCCTCCCCACCATCGCCTTCCCCCTCGTAATTGTGGACATAACGTTAGCTCGAGAGCAAACGATCGCGGATATGTATAATTCCGCGGACGGAATTGGAAAAGAATATATCGTCGCGTCCTCCACACGTCCTGGGTAAAAAAAGATTTTTTTCCCCGACGTCGGTTGCGTCGCTTCCATCTTGAACTTTATTCCCGTTACGTGGATGCAATTGTTGATGCGCGACCATCCCGTTGTTATCGACGACGACGATCGAAATCGTTTTAAGATATCCTTGAATACGAATACGTGTGAGATATCATTGGAAAGATTGAAATTTCTTTTCTATTGCAGAGAGATAGATGGGAAGAGAAATGGATATTAGCCTCGTGAAAATTAATTTCAACGCAAAATAATTTATAAGATGAGTTTAAATATTCGAAGAAACGTGGATCGTGTTCCACGAGTTATATCTGAAGATTTATCCTATGATAAATTTTGATATTTCTTTCTCCTGTATTTCCCCCGTATTGGTTTTATGATAGCCAACCACGTTCACCACGTTTAAATCATCGTTTAGACGATCCAGACATGGAAACGGAAGCGGAAGCGTTGAACGGCGAGGCAACCGATTCCCGGAAGATGGAAGTTCAAATCGGGGGTGCAGTGACTCTGGAGTGCGACGGTGGTTGCTGGGGACACGGTCCTGGAATGGATCCAGTCGGTGGTCCCGGTCCACTGGCTCTCAGTCGAGTCGTTTACCAGGAAGCCGGCGAATATCGATGCGTCGCACCTGACAGGAAAATGCAAGACACCTGGCGCGCCCAATTGCCCTATCACATCAAGGTCACCGGTAAGATTCTTCCACGAGCATGATTATTCTCTTACTCTCTGTTCGAATTTTAAAAATAACACTTTCCTCCGACGATACACGACTCTCTGCGTTACGTCTGTGATATACGGTGGATTTTTACTTTACTACTCGTTCAAATACGTATGAAGGATCAATCGATCTTTTGTTAAACGTTTCGTTTAATTCAAATCGATCCTTAAGAATTAAATTTTCAATTCGAATGGAAGAAGTTTTTAATTAATAAGTTAATGGTTAAATCTGAAACAATATATTCATTGCCCTCCAAATTATCCGATAAATTTCACTTTTCTCTCGCGAATAATTCATCAATTTGTTGAATGAAATACGAATGTCACGGAAGATCGATGATGCTTCGAGTTTCACTTAAATAGAACGAATTTCCAACGATCTTCAATGAAACGAAACCATCGATAATCGATAAGAAAATAAGAGAGGGAGGGAAGGGAAGGGGGGAAGGTTAATTTACCGTGAGGCTAATTCAAAGCTTATCGTCATTAGTCATTATCATGAGGTTAACCCTCTTTCGTACCGTCTCAAACGAATTATCCAATTTTCTTCAATAATTGCTCGCGTGCACCCCTCGACGACCACCTAATTGCAAGACTTATGAACGCACTTTAAATAAATTACGTTTGATTCCCGCCAAATTACATTAAACTATTATTTTTACGATCGTCGGCTGCTTTCATTCGAAATATCTTCTTTAATAATATATAGAAATAATCATTTACACGTTCTCCCGAAATTTTCCCCGCAAATTTTCCTCCCTTGGCAGAAAAACTTCACCCTTTTTTTCCTTTTTATTCCAACGTGTAAATAGCCTAATTAGACTAAAATTATTCTAAATTGTTCATATTCGTTAAGTTCTTTTTTTTTTTCTTTTTTTTCGTTAGACACGCATTACGTATTTCTTACATATTTTAATAGCAACCATACATACGTAATACGAGTGGAAAAAGCGAGAACGAAAAATTAAAATTTTCTGTCGCGCTTTCACTGTCTTTTTTCTTTCTTTCTTTCTTTATTTCCATTTTTGTAACGTTATTATCGTCTTTCGTGATGCTGCCACCGGTTTTTTTTTTTTTTTCATTTCTCTTCCCCAGACAATGTATCACGTGTAACGTCGGGGAAAACGTGCTCCTTTCTCCGGTGCACAATGTGTGGCGAGTTTGTTGTTCCGTGAAATGCATTATCAGACGAATTTTCAGTCGGAAGACAGTTATGGTCTTTTTTTTTTTTTTCGAGAAAATCTATCGACGCAGGCTCGTTAAATATCTCGTCCATGGGTCGGATTGTCCACGAGAGAAAAATTAATTAAAGCGATGTGGAATGAGTTCAGAAATGGGCGAAAAACGAAATTGAACGTGCAACGATGGATCGTTATTGTTGATGGCCGTCGAATGGAATTACCTTGTTTCTATCACTATCCTATCGTTCCTAATTTTATCCGAAGTACTACGATAACTTGGATAAATCCGAAAATCCGCTCGAAAATTTAAATTACCTATATTAAAGAACAACATAGGTAATCGATGGAGCGTTTTAAAGAAACACTCCATGATTTAAATACGAATGAGACTAAAGAGCACGTACGAACGATTTAAAGAAAAAAAAAATTCCAAAAAAAAATCACCGAATCGAAAATCTAAAAATCTAAAATCGAAAAATCAAACGGAATCGAACGAATTATCGAATAATCCGAAAAACACCCGACAATTTAAAAATCTTTTTAAGGGAATTTTGAATAAATCCAGAGATCAATGTCCCGACCGTTTTCACGCGAGTGCTCACATTTCCCCGATATCTTTCTCGAGGGTGGAAGGATATTCGACTTCTCGAAGGATCGACAGCAAAAGGGGGTGGAATGGAAAAGTCGAGTCAAGGGTAACAGCAGGGTCTTCGCCGCCGTGGGACTTCTATTTGATCTTCGAAACATGCGTGTCTTTGTGTGTAGAAATTGTGCACGGAGGATGTGCAGGGGAGGACCCGTTTCCCCTTGACGAGGGTGTGGAAAACAAGTTTATGACGCGGAATGGGAATTGGTGCGTCGTAAAGCCTGCTCTATACGCACCAGATCTTATCGGAATCATCCTGGCCTATTTTCACAAACTAAATCTCTCGGCGATTGTTCATTCGAGATTAAATAGTGATTTCAGCTTCGACTAAGTTACAGCAATAGAAAAAGTTTATTTATTTTACGAATCTTCAATGAAATTTCGAAACTGATTTATACTAGATTTAGTTATCTCCAATCAATAAAAGCGCAGTATTGATTCGTGAATAAGTTCCTTAAATCTTTTATTTCTTTATTACGAGATGTATAAAATCATTTTACGTTACCTTATGTAAGGCAAAAATATGCCCAAAATATCTTGTTACCGATTGAAAAATTCATCGAGCGCGAAGGGTTAATATAATTAATTAAATTGAATTGCGCAAAGAATAATTGATTCGTTCTAAATAAAAATTCAACTAAAAATTAAAAGTAACCGTGGCAAAGTGTAGAAGAAGAATTAATTCTTCTTCGCACACCTTGCACACCTTTCCTTCGTTTAATTTATCCCCAAGCTTGAAACACGTAACTTTTACGATCATCATAAACAAGACACGTATAAGATATATAAGCAATACCTATTCTCCCGACCCTATAAAACGTCGATGCTGTAATATAACGTGTAGCAACGTAAACAGGCAAATTACGATTCAAGCGTCGTACGGTGGAAGAGCACGATAATCCAGCCTTAATAAGGGTGTTTCTCGCGACTCCTTGTCCGGATAGGTGGAAAGCCGCGGATGAAAACGAGTCGGGGATTATAAGAGAAGAGATCCCGAGCGGATATCGGGCGAAAAGGCAGGAAACTTTGAGAGCGTTTAACTTCTCCGCCACTTTCTTCGAGCACTAGCCAAAGTAGTTTCGAACGGAAACCGATCGTTTGTCGTTTTCTGACAGATTATGGAGGGTCAACGTCCACTCCCCGAAGTAGTGGAAAAGCGGCGTACGAGATTTAGAACCTGATTCGAGACTAAATCGCACGCTAATGGAATTGACTATTATAATAAGTTTGTGTGCCCAGGCTTTGAGCGTCGTTCCCCAGAGAAGGCTTTTGGTAATGGATACTTTCCTCTGGCCAAATATTATCCATCGAATGTACATTTGTATTAGCCAGCTGATGAGATACTTTAGAGGGTTGATGATTTCGATTTTGGGAAGAATTTTCCCTTTCGCGTGTTTCTTGTTTGAATCGTAATTTCGAATTCGAGAAACGATTTCAACTATCGAGAAATTTTTTAACGCGAAATATATTCTGACAAGCTACAAAATTTGAATTTTTAAGCTGCGTTAAACTCGCGAATACCTAATTTATTCTTTTTTTTTTTTTCTATTCTATTTTTCAACATTTTAATTTAAATTTCAGAAGGAATTTAATACGATACTTGAAACGTGTAATTATGAAACGGTTCAATTTTAACATTCTACGCGCGTGTTCCTCGTTAGCTTTTGAAATAGTCAAATTTTAATTTTAATATTCTCCATCTCAAAGCGAACCATCTCGCGCTCTATTCCTTTCCATGTCCACGTTGCTTACATACTGATGATAAATTCTTCTATCGAAGCCGCAATCGTTGGCCTCTTCCTCATTCTACGGCCTTGCGGAAGCCTTTGCTCGCTATCCACCCCGAGGCAATCGCTGAAGCAATCTCGACTTTCTTATTGATTGCAGCTCAGGCAACTCGTGCGTGTAAGGGGCTCAGCCAGTCGAACCGGTATCCTCGGGATTTTAAAATCGTTTCCCTGGATTGAACAAGGGGACGCCACGAAAATCATTCCATCGTGAATTGTCTCGATTTCTCTGTTTCTTTTCCCTTCTCTCCTTGTCTACCAGTCGAGAGAAACAGCTGAGCCAACCATTTTAATTCCTTCTATAAATTATCGACTTTACCGCGCCAATATCTATGATATCGGAGATTTCTCGAATATATGAAATGAAAATAATATTATGGATAAAACGGATTCGATTGTAGAAAATTTTAAATTTCCTATTTCCACGAGTGTACAACGGTTATTCTCTGACAAGATTCCTCGAGCGAGTCCGTCCTTTTGTGTCAAAATCTTTAAAGTTCGTACATCGTTCGTTGAACTTTACGAAAAGTAGTTGAATATTAATGATTAGTTGTCGAACGACAAGATATATTGCCACAATTTATAAAAAATATCCTTCCATTTTTCCATTCCTCTTTTTTTTTTTTTATATTCCATAAATTCACGCTACGTATACGCCTCGTATATACGCTCGTGGATCCCAAGATTCACTTCTATAAATATCGAAGTCAATATTTCTCGTCGGTGTTCGACATATTTCTCGAGAACTCGCGGTTCTTGACTTTTCTCGTTCGAGTTATTCGCCCGTGGAAAATCGCGTTTTCCTTTCTTTCGGTCAAAAAATGTAGCGAACGCGTTTTTCCCAAATTCGTTATAGTTCGGGATATTCCCCTCTCAAAAACTTTCACGCGAATCGTTCGATTGAACGATTTCGAGAGGGAACGCTTGAGAAAATATTCGTGAATGCGAAGAAAAAAAGTCGAACGAACGAGAAAAAGTTTCCCGTTGGACCGAATTGTGGCCGCAATAAAACTACATTATGCTCGTGCTTCTTACACCCACAGTTCGCCCTCTCGTGAAACTCTACGACACGTTCGCGATAATTTCCCCGCGAAAATTGCAAACTGCTGCTAACACACATTTTCGCAATTTTATTGTGACCGTGGTCGTTTATCATTAGCCCGGCCAAGGGTTTCGGGATTAAAATCTTTTTTAAAAAAAAGGGGGAGGGAAGAAGGAAGAGGAAAGAAAAGAAAACGGTAGAAGAAGAGAGTAAGAAAGGGATAGAGAATGGCAGGAGATTATAACGAAACGTTTTCGTCGGGCGAGTCACGAAAGATTAAACAACCTGTTGTTAATTAACGTTCTCGTGAAATTT